TTAAAACCCCAGAAATAAGGAAGATACAAGGTCTGGAGTTACCTAAAAGTGGTAGCTCTTCGTTTTCTTTTTAAGAACAGATCATCTCCCTAGTGACTGTCACTGTTTTACCTTTTAATTTCATCTTGTTCTTTCATTCATCCACACACTTTCTAGGAGTACACTGTGCATGTGAGGGGCACCATGGGAAACACCCCAATGAACAAGACACATCCTTAAGACCTACTTGCTCCCGCCCGTGGTAACAAAGTCACCGCAGCGAGAGTTTGGAGAAAAGGCCGTTCTCCCGGGTGGAGAGAATCAGGAAAGATTTCCTATAGGAGCCAGGGTTTGATCTGGACCTTGAAGAATAGATGTTGGATTTTAATATGTGGAAATGTGGAGAGAGAGGAAGAATATGGGAAAAGCCCAAGAATCCCAGTGTGTCCGCAGACAGGGACAAGCCCAGAGGACCACTCTCTGCCTCTGTGCACCCGCGCAAAGCCTCCGTCCAAGGCCAAGTGCATCAGGTGAGTGCTCTCTCCGCCAGAACAGCTGGAAGACGTCTTAGTGCTTTTACACGAACGACTACACTAACATGTCTTTGCTCGAAACAATGACTGCGCCCATCACACACCTGGTGGTAAGTCAGCCTGTGAACACAGGAAAGGCGAGGAGGGTTCTGGAGGAGCATTTCTGTCAGCTCAGAAGGTGAGGAATAACAGCTGCGATGTATAAAATACCGCCTTTGTATTGGCCACAATACATTCCCACTCTCTGATCGCCCCTCATGAGAATGCTGGAGAGTAAGTCACGGTGGTCATCACCATTTTACAGATGAAGAAACTGAGGCTCAGAGTGGTTCCATGATTGTTCAAGGTCAGAACAGTTTGAAGGAAGAGGAGGCAGACCTAGAATTGTGATGGAGGCCTGTCATCCAAACCCACATTATTCTCATTTTCTGGTGTGTGCACTGGACAAGGAAGGCTCCTGTTCTAGACTCTCCTGTGTCCCTGGATCTCAGGCCCTTCTGTCTGTGGCTGTCTTTGTTCTGCTCATTAGAGCTCCCCTCACTCTAACCCCTTGATACCCCTGATCTGGCCGCCCAATACCTTCAGCGCTGACTATGTGGCAAATCCTGAGGACCACAGAGGCAGGATTGCCCCCACGGCCTCTGTGCTAGCCAGGAATAGCCACCACTTCTCGTCCCTAGCAAGGTCCTGATGGCCATGCTCAGAACTGAAGCTCTCCAGGCAGCCAGGATGGCATCTGAATCCTGGGTGCCCCACAGCCTGGCCAAGGGCTCCCCTAGCACACGGTCCAGGCAGGACTCCATTCCTTCCCTGAAGAATAGGGGTTGGGGAAAAGGATGAGTATGACTTGGGAGTATGTGGTCCTGGGTTCAAACCCTAGCCCTGTCACATCCTGGCTGCGGAATGTACTAATATACAGGTCCTCAAACCTCAGTCTTAATGTCTAAATATACTCAACACAATAGCACGTATCTTGAAGGGCTTGTAAGCATTAGAGGGGCCTGGCACATGGTAGCTGCCAACTGGGAATTCTTTGCGACTTCCGCCCCTTTCTAGGCTGATTCAGGTGTGCTGCACTCACCTTTGTGTCTGCAACAGCAAACTCAAGGTGCAGCTCATAGTAGAGCTCAATGAAGCAGGATAAATCTTGAACTTCATCCTGTCTGCATCTCCAAAGTCTAGGGCAAACTAGGGCCCTCAGCATAAATCTGGCCCGCTGTCTGATTTTTTAAAATAAACTTTTTTGGAATAAATCATTGCTCATTCATTTAATTGTTTATGGCCACTTTCATGTTATGATGTCAGCATTGAGTAGATGCAATGGAGACAGTCTGAGTCTGCAAAGCCAAAAATATTTACTTGCAGAAAAAGTTTGGGGACCCTTGCTCTTGTGTATGGGAACTTTAAATGGGGGCGGGAGAGGACCTGTGATGGTCTTTGATGAAGAAGACATCCCCCGGCTTTTTCCTCACCCACACGTTATATCCTCTTTTCCTGGTTTTTCTATTTTTCTCTTCAGCTCTCCGGACCATCACATAACTTCTCTATCACTCACTTCCTTATATATGTTGTTTATTTTCTATAAACTCCACTATAAAGCTCCATGTGGGCAGGGATTTTTATTTGTTTTGCTCTTATATACTGAAACTTTGACCAGTGCCTGGCACACAAGTGGGCACTCCACAAATATTTGTTGAATGAATAAACATGGATTTTATGGAAAAAAGTTGTTCAACCAAAGTGTGTTGGAGGCTTTCTCTTTCATGGATTAATTTTGAACTTTTAAAGGAACCTAGTAACTCCTCCCCCCTCCCTCCCCCCTACACACACAACCCCTGGGAGAAGAGTATTATTTTTCTTATCTTATAGGTGAGACAACTGAAACTCTGGTTAAGTTAGTGCTTCTCAAACTTGAACATGTACATGAGTCACCAGGCATCTTGCTACCATGCAGGTTCTGACCCAGGAGGTCCAAGCAGGGACCAAGGTACTCCCAGGAGGTGCTCCCTGTCCCTAAACACTCTACCTCCAGTCCTCCCCTTCTGTAGTCACCCCACCTCCAGCATCTTCTGCACGGGCCCCTCGACTTTACCTACACACGTGCCCAGGACTTTCTGATCCTTCAAGTGGCTAATCTTACATTTCTCCACTATTTCAGGGCCTTTGGTTAAAAATAAGTACTTCTTTTTGTGGGCCCCAGACAGGCTGGCTTCCTTTCTCAACTCTACACCATGACCTATATGGGTGACTACTGATGGCCAAATGTCAGGGCTATGCCCACTCCCTTCACTTCCATCTGTCTGCAGCAACTCTGCTATTGTCAACCTCTCCTCCTGCAATGGCCTTCTCCTTGTGGTCCTTATAGCTCTCTTTCTGCTTCTATGTCAGCTTTTCCAGGTATTCTCTTCCTCCGAACATTTCACCATGGGCTGGCATGAGTTTCACATTCTAGGATCTGTGACTCAGAACTCCAAGTCTGCACCAATTGAAGGGCTTTTAGTTATCCCTGTACCTTGAGCTACACGTACCTGCATATTGATCTCCTACACTCCCAAACTGTTCATGTTTGATTTCATCAGGGTGTCCAGCATAATCAATGCATGATAGAAAGTGGACATCCAAAGACAGTGCCACATACGCTGGCTAAGAGACTGAAAGGGTGAGGTGCCCAGAGGTTGTGATGGGTCATTTGATGCCCACAGAGACTGTGGAACATCTATGCCATAAGAACCCCTGGAAGATCAAGGAGATCTCAGGGGCCACCATGATATGTGCCCTGACCCCTTACAGTTTCTGAAAGGGGAAAGAAAATAACATTTCGTGAGTGGCAACTTTGTGATAAGCACTTTACAAAATCATCTCATTTCTTCTTCAAGGTAACTCTATGAGCTAGGCACACTGATCCTACTTTAGAGCTAAGAAGAAGGAAGCTCAAAGAGTTCAGAAAATTTTCTCAAGGCTGCTTAACTGGTGAGCTAAAGTCCTGGTCATCTCTCCTATCACAGAGATGGGACTTGAACCCAGGGCTGCATAATTCCAAAAGCTCATAATTCCAGTATTGTGTCATACCCCTATCCCTTTGCTGATGCAGTTCCCTTTGTTTAGAATTCTTATTTCTTCAATATTGGGTAAACCTATCTCTAAAAACACTGATAACTACCCCTGCCCCATTAACAGTGAGTCACCCAACCAAGTGCGCTTGCACCACAGTGCATACAGACACCTCTCAGTTGACGTGTCAAGTATTTGGTGTTATGCTGGTCTCTCAGGTAGGCTTGAGCACTGTTAGGGTAAGGCTCCAAATCTTGGTCATCTCTCCAACCACAGTGTCTGGAATATAATGTGCATGTCCAATGTCTATTTGATAAGTGAATGAATGAGCAAAGAAGCAAGTTCTTTGGTACTCCTAGTGTTGCTGGTGGGGCTCTGTTGATTTCTAGATAACACACAGGTAGTAGTACCAGACTCTTATCTGCTCATTGCCTGGATCTAGTGACCTGTGGCCCTAAGAACTGAGCAGAGTGGATGGAAGGGGCTTTTAGCTCCATCTTCATCTGTGAAGGCTTTGGTAGATGATCACTGACAGTCATGGCCCCTCTCACAAGGCTGGGTTTCCCGGGGTGGAGGACAACATGGAATGACTGGCAATATACTTTACCAGGAGCCAGGCATTCTGAATTGAATCCCATAGTTTTGATAACTGAATGAGTGATTTCATATACCTCTCTGGACCTTGATTTTTAAGGTATGGAAAATTCATAATAGGAATATGAGACTAATTCAGTGGTTTTCTAATTTTACATTACCAAGAACCTATTTATGAAATATTTCTCCTTTATCCTCATGCTTTGTAAAGGTCTGGTTTAATATTGAGAAAAATCATCATCATTATTTATAAAGTGTGATAATAAATGAACCGGCAATCAGCCAACAAAATGCAGTGACAGCATGAGATAACTCAGGCTAAAACCCAGCTGAGATACTTCTAGTCCAAAGCAAAGACCTGGATGTCACCTGTGAAGCTGTTTTTAGATAAAGTCATGATTCCCTGTAGACTTCCTGAAAGAGTGGAAACAGTTGAGGAATTTCTTCCTAACCTTTAAGCCCCCTGCGCTACACAAATGGACTCCAAAGTTGCTGAGACTGCGATTCTGTTTTATGTGCGCAAGTCTTGCAGGAGGATTAGGTTGACCTATTGCTGGAATTTGAGGATTTCTACCTAGAAAATTACACTGACAACGGAGAAACAGCCCTGCACATCTCCAAAGATAGAGGGTGAAAAATCCAAGATGGCAGAAACATAATGGACACGAACAATGACTGTGTTTTCAAATGGCAAACATCTACACAAAATAAAAACTGGGGCTACAGATGGCTTAGACAGAAGTTAGTATGAGAAACCCACAGACACTTGGTTGGTGCAGGGAATGCATGCTACGGGTTCCCTTACAGGGCACAAAGCAAAGTTAACCCAGGGTCGATACTTACAAGTAATAGGAGTAGGAATAAGCATTTCTTCTATATATTGATGGGCAGTCAGATGAAGGAAATGTCCAAAAAGGGGGAAAAAGAAAAGACAAATAAACAAGAATTAGATTTATATAAAACCTTGATTCTTAGAAATGCACATAGTATTTCAGCATCCCTAAGCTCAAGGAGATGCACGTTTCTCTACTAGTCATCTTTGCTGAGAATCAGACACTTTCGGTGCTAGAAAAAAAATGAGAGAGACCTCTTCTATGATGGAGAAACGCACTACTCATACAGAGGAAGCCACATCTCACATTGGCTATGTCAGTTGCTTGAACGTTCTTTCTTATGGTCACCTAAAACTAGCACTGTTGATGATGACATTTTAGTCTTGGGTCAGATTTCTCTGGCCTGGAACTAGTCTATCACTCTTTAACATGACCGTGCTGCTATGATCAAAGGAAAACCATAATGACTTTTATCTTTTCTGTTTCAGGTCAAATCACATCTGTCTCAATTTAGCAAGGTCATGCCAAAAGCAAGGAAACCGTGTAGCCAGCATCCAAGATGGCTCCCCAGTGATCCACAGGCCCCAGTGCTCACACCTATGTGTACTGCTTTGCCCCACATTGAATCAGAGCAGGCCCTATCTAGCCAATAGAATGTAATAGATGTTATGCTTTGGGACTTCCTAGAATAGGTCAAGAAGAAGCCTTACAGCTCAGACCGGGTCTTTGCAACTCTCACTTTGAACCCTGAGTCTCCGTGTAAAAAGTCCAAGTATTCTGAGGTTGACATGCTGGGGAGAGCATGCAAAGAGAGCATGTGAGAGGCCCCAGGAGGGCATAAAGAGCTCCAGCCAGACCTAGCAGTTCATAACCAGAGCAAAATTCAAACTTCATGAAAGAGCACTGCACCAACAGAGAGGAATTCCAGTCTTTAGTCTGAGGAGACTACAACTGGCATAAATGCCTGTGCCTTCATTTCTTAATCTGATTCTTAGATTAGCTGAACTAGGTCAATGACATGGGTAAATACCAATTTACATGCTTCGAGGTGTGGAAACAGATGGTGCCTTAGCATCCCAGTACTACCACTTGCTAACTGATGGCCTCGAGCAAATCACTAAATATCTCAGTTTCTCCATCTCAAGGTTGAGGGTAATAATTATCTATTGGCAAAAGTCACTGTGGGCATTAACATTAAATTATATAAATCTAAATTACATTCAAATTATATACAATATATAAAGTATTATAAGAAAATTATATGAATCCAAAGCAATAGATTATATTAATCTAAACACCTGAAATAGAGTAGGCCTCAATAAAGAGGAATTTATGACCCTACCTCATTCACAAATATAAGGTGTGCCGCTTCTCACTCTGGTGACCAAGAACAAAGTGTTCACCTCTTCAGGGATATTAAAGTAGGAATAAAATACAAACAAATACTGAAGTAGCACTTTTGTATAGTCAGGCATTGTTCTCTGCTGTTATCAGGCATTAAATTATGTATTCCTCACAACCACCCTGGCAGATACATATTACTATCACCACCTACATTACAGATGAGGAAACTGAGGCAAAAGAGGTTAAATATCCTGCCTAAGATCACTCAGTTGGTAACCAGATTTGATTGAGACATGGCTCTAAAGCTCATGCTCTTGATCACTAAACTGCTTTTTTTTTGAGAAAGGAAGAAAACAGATGTGTGAGTCAGGCATTGAGAGGCCACATATTTATCTCTTTTCACCCGACCCACATCCCCAATAATAGAGCATTATTTTCATTTTTATTTGAGGAATCTCAGGCTCTAAGGGGTCACTCTTCACTAGGTCTAAGGTTTTGTGTATTTTGGGGCCAGTTGCAAGACCTCCATCCTGAGCCAGGATTTCATCACTGTCAGCAGCCCCAGGCTGCACTCAACATTCTGGACCCTCCGGTTTTTATGCTGCTAACCTTCAGGACTCACCTCTGCCTGGACTGCCTCCTCATGACAACATGCTTCCTTAGCCTTCCACCTCCACTTCCAAACAGCTTTTCTGAGTTATCCGGTTTGTTACCAAAAGCCAGTGCTATCAAGGCAACTCCAGAATGATTACAACTGACAATCTTTTATTAATTGAGTACCTTTTCCCAATTAAATGGCAAAGTGTTCCAGGCAGGGATTATAGTTCTTTATTCTGTGACCAAAACACAGTATATATGTGTGCTTTCTGTAAGGCTTAAAGAAGATTTACTGAAGGTCTAAATTTACAAGGATACTGTGATATTGCAAGTAACAGATTGCCTAAGATCAAAAATCCTGCGCAGGAAGACAGCTGTGCTTAGAAAAAAACCCAAACCCAAACTAAATAATGTGCTGCAAAATCTTATTTTCAGCTGGCTTGTAAGACTGACTTGAGACACAGCTTCCCTTTTTGTTCCACGCTATGTAAACAGGACTAAATTGTCTATTTAACCATCTAGTTGACCACCTACCAATCCATCTAGCACATACTGGTAAACCCATCCATCCCTCTCTCCATCCCACCACCCATTTAGCTACCCACTAAACAATCTATCCAGTTAGCCCATAAACACACACACACTCATCTAAATGGAGATATTCCCCCTGTGTATCTCCATGCAGCCCCGACTCTATAGGGTCCTGCTTTAAAAAACAAAAAAAAAAACAGTCCAAAGAGCCAATACTTCACAAAAAGAATTCTAAACTTTAACTTGCATCTTTTACAAACTGTAAGGAAACCTTGTTTGAATCACCCAGCATCTCAGAATCCTTTCTGCAACCTTTCATTTTTCAACCTTTCATTTTCCCCTCTACCTATTACAAAACAACCAAGCAACAACAGCAAAACATTCCCTCTCTCTTTTCTCTTCTCTCTTTTTTCCCCTTACATTTTGAATGTAGTTGATTTAGCTTCTTTAATTACTAGTAGTAAGTCCTTCCCCTGGTCCCCTGTATCTGTAACCCCATTCTCTGTCTGATGTCTAGTTCAATATCACAAAAGAAAATAACTAACAGCAAGAGAAAAACTCTCTTTGGAGAGTGACAAAGAAGCCCTAAGGCCAAAGAGGATAGCACTTCAGGGGAAGAATCTAGGGACATCTTATGTATCCTGGAAATATTTGGCCACAACTTTGGTGAAGACTTTGAACCAGTTGGACCCATGAGGAGCAGGGAAAATGGAGCACCATGCCCACGTCCATGAAGGTTAGGGAGAAGACCTCGATCGAGCCAGGGCAGGGGATGCAGCAGGTGTTGGACTTCTGGACCCAGGAACTAACTGTGGATCATGATGGGACTGAAGAGATGCTGATACAGGATCCATCACAGGAGTTGTGATGATTTGCCTATTACTTAGGGGTTTCTTTTCCTTTAATAACACTTTCCCTTTAGGTTGCTGAGGACAGTGTTCTCGCCAGCAGTAAGTTAGCGACAGATTCAATCGGCAATGAAGTTTTCCCCTTGAGAAGGAGCCCATGAAACCCTTTACTGGCCTTTGGGAATTTCTAGACATGAGAAAACATTGCAGGTCAGTGGGAAGAGTGTAGGTCTAGGCTTAATTTCTCCTTTTCTCCCTCTTTACCTTCCTCCTCTTTTCTTCTCTCTTCTCCTTTGCCCATCCGTACATGATTATCAACTAGTTCAGCAAAACAAATTTTCTCCAAAAGACACTGCATATGTACACACTGATTGGCAAACTCCCAACCTCTGTCCATGGCCACAACACCTGAGATTTGCCTCTTGGGGAGAAATGGTGATCATGTGCCAGCTGCTGGCTGGGTGTGACGGATGATTTTCATAGAGGTGGGAGATGAAGATATGCAGAAGAGGTTAAAAACACACAAAGGGATCCCTTTATACTTGCTCTCACCCAGGAAACAGAAAGCTCTTTCCTCCCTCCCCAAAAGTCACACGTTTCAGAAATAGCTGTTGGGAAGGAAGTGAAATTTCTTCACAAGCTCGCAGACGATGGTGACGTGGGGGTAAGCCAGGCTTTAGAAAGAGCAAAATTGGAGGAGCATATCTGACTTACAAATCAGTGACAAAGAATGAGAACACTGCAGGTCTATCAAATAGAAATGCAACTTTATTAAACTGGCTACTTTTCCCAGGTAGACAATGCCAGCCTCCAGTGTGCCTGTGATTCGAAGAAACATGATGATGATCTTGTATATGCAATGCGCTTACCCCCCTCCTTCCTCCCATCCCAATCAAACCTAGCAGCTGACTTATCACCAAGACATTCAATACGGCCACATTTTTAAGATGATGGTAATAATATGACAACGCAGTGCTGTCCTTAACCCTCTGGGGGATTTTGCTCCCCAATATTAACATAGTGCCTTCCCTTCCCCTAATCTCTCCAACCACAAAATCAGCAGCTGGATGAGAACCTTAACTCTTCAGTCATTCACTTGGGAGCCTGAGGAAGAGAGCAGTCCTGTTAGACAAACAATGTCAAAAAAGGACAAGGTCCTACCAATAAGATGTTCTGGCACAGCACGCACTGGCTGATTGAGAACAGAACCTTCTGAGACACAGGGACATTCTGGTGCCACAATGGCTAAGAGAAGGCTGACTGTGTATAGTGGGAACCACGATATTTCTGACTCACTGATGGCTGAAAATGGGAAATTAATATTATTTTTGTTTCATTTATAT